GTTTCAAAGATGTAAAAGAGACAGGCACAAAGGTAGAGAGGTAGGTAATGTGAGTACTGTGAAAGCAGTCGAATAGGACAACCAGAGGGGTCGTAGTAGTTTGAAGCAAGAAGTCAACTGCCAGTTAATAGACTTTTTGCCCCTATGAGTATACGTTGCCCAGGGTGCACCACGTGGAGGTAAGTCTATCGCACACTCCAAATAAATTTTTGTCATTGCGCAATTCCAACAAATGCGTGTCTCGCGATTTCAATGATAAGGTTGCTTACTTATCTCTATTCTCTATTCTTGGATTTTCAATTCAGTTCTAGCTGCATTGGTTGTGTGTGTGTTTTGTTTTTAGGAAATGCTAATTTGATAAATAGCTTGTGTTGTATGGATCAACTGGAGCTGCCATTAAGTGAGGGGGCTTTTGAAGTCATTGACCTTTTCACAAATTGGTCCCTTTCTCAAGGCGTATTTTAGGGAAAAGTGAGGGAGTGGGGGAGGGGGGTGTGTGTGTGTCAATTATCTAATTAGGAGGGGAATAAAGTGCAAGAAAAGGCCAATTGCTTATATTTTCGACCTTCTGGGAGACGGAGATTTAAGTTTAACCATTTCTCTTTGTCCTGCTTTTTTTTACTTAGTTAAAGGTGTTAATTTAATGGGGTATTGATTGTTCTCGTATGTATTTTTATGACTTATCTTGGACATAGAGTCAAGGTTCTATACTTTGGATGCGGGCATAAAACAGCTTCTCCATTTACCGGGTTTGAATCGAATATGGTTGCAGCGTAGTTATGGTCTCAAATGTCTGAGGTCAAGTTTAACAGACCTCCTTTTTCTCTCATTTGTAGGGAGTATGGTAAATAGGCGAGCATTTATTATAGTTTTCCTTGTAGACAAGGAAATGTTGAAATAAAAGCAATACCTGTGTGTAAATATGATAGAGGTTGACAAAGAAATTTTCCAAATTCTAAAACTGTCTTGCCACATTGGCAAATTTCATCTGCAGTAACATGAAGTTTCTTTCTGAGTGTCTGGAGTTCAAGCTCTCCATCAGTCCACGGTGCACCAATTTTTTTGTCCTTGAGCTGGTTTTGCAAAGGTTTCTAATTTAGGCCTCCCTCCAATGCCCTTGGTAACAACTTGTTTGGTGAATTCTAACGTTTTATTTTTCACTCTTCTTCCTTCACAGAACCCACATGCAAGATTTGAAGGATATGACCTTGGAAGTGCACTATGAGAACTACCGCGCCAAGTACATCACTGAGAGAATGTCTCGACGACAAACTGATCGAAGAGAGGGCATGGGGTGAGTCTGCCAAGTCACTTTCTTTGATATCTTAAAGTTATAATAACTTTAACAACCTTTTCCACGCAGAGCACAGCGTACAGATCGTGACAATGGACCCGGCTTTGAGGCCCTAATGAGTGCTGATTGTCTGCTTCGTCAAAAAGAGGATGAGGTAGGTGGTATTTTTAATCGTTACTTCTGGGAACTGTTGCTTTCCCCTACAGCAATTTAGTATTCCTTCCCCTTAGGGTATTTAAACTTGGTAAACTAAGGCAGCACTATCCACCCAGTTAGTAGAACTATTCCAAGAGCTTGACTATGTTTGACTCAGGGGTAACTGTTTGCAGAAATAATGATCTGCCTAGTGATCAACAGTATTCAATAGCCTTTCCAAAGTCAAAACACTACGTCTTTTGGGAAAATCCCATTCTACCGCCATCCATATTGACCTAAATTAACCGATGCGGTTGGCTATCTGGATTATCAAATGTATATCAGGGGGCATTAGTCTCCTGACCTTTAGCATAATCGACATTCATCTTGACCGCTGGCCTACCGGTGCCCAGATGAAAGAGTGCCTATTTATATTTTTCGTCGCATCATCTTGTAATGTGACACGTATCGATTTCAGTTGCAGAGAATGAGTGCCAAAAGTTTGGATCAAATGACCCGCGGAAAGACAGCCGACGGCCTATTGGCAAATCACAGCTCGACAGGAACTAATGGAAGTGCTGTGAGTCGTGCACCCGCAACCATGGCAACTGCTGCTGTAGGTGGCGGTGGGAGTGGTGGCCCAATGCCCGGTCCGGGAACCCTGCCACCTAAAGCCAGTCTCACCGGTCTCTAAATCTTTCCCTCCACCTTGTTGTTTACTCTTTCTAGTAATTTCAATAAAACTGCATGTGTTGTGTCGTCTTGCCCTCCTCTCTCTTTCTCTCGCTTATGACAATCGACCTCTTTTTCTCATAAACCTCCCTCATCTGCCACATTATCTTGACTCTGTTAAGTATTGTCTCCTCCCCCTTACCACTCCTACTACTGATAGACAACGACAATGAGCGCTTTGGTTATTGTGTTTTAAAATATGTCCAAAATTTTGTTAATACGAGGACGCATGAGCAGCCCACAGTGGATTTTACTCCAAATATGTGTAAATCTATCTCGCTGGGTCGTCTATTTCAATACAGTGCTGTTTATATGAAATAAGTAGGTAATTAGTATCGGTTTTTGAAACTAGTTGACTATAGTAGGGGATTATTTTCGAACATGCTTAAGTAGCTACTAAACTGCGTATTTATCTAACTGAATTTAGCGGCTCAGTGGTGGCACTTTGACGAGGCTCAAGGAAGTTACTATTTCGTAACTTGCGGGTAAAATGGGGTGGTGGGGATTTCTTTAATCTACTGCTATTATGAAGGAAAGTTGGGTTTGCTGTTGGGGAGTTTTGGAATCAGCTCGGAGATGATTGCTGGTAACACTTTTGCTTGTAACGCATTCTGAAGAAAAAGCATCTTTTTGGAGTAGAAGAAAAGCAATTTGACTAGACTAGCTCCGCCGTTTAAACCCTTTTGTTACGTCTCGCATTTACTTTGACCTACTATCAACCCTTGCATTCCGATTTGGATGTGAAATCCGTTGACTGTTGGCCGTTACGAGAAAATCAAGATAGTTAATTAAAATTTTGGTGAAATGAGGAATATTATTTGATTTCATTCGTAATGGTAGGCCCAATGGTGCCACTCTATTTCCCCAAGACAATCACTGAAACATACTTTTTTCGAAGTGGATTTGAGAGTTATCGAACAGTCAATTCAGACAACTGCAAGAGATGCAATTACTATCATTCAGAAAGCAAACCAATCATAAACGCGTACCACTGGATGACCAATCAAGACAGTTACAGATTTGTGATTGGTTAAGGCATGCACTATTTATTGCGGTCATTAGCACATTTCATCCGCGTTTGGCCACTGAGATGGAGTCGATAATTCCGTTTTGTCTGCTGTTCTTCGCTTTAATTCTGGTCTCAAATACGGCCACTGGTTTTCCTGAATCCGAGCTCACAGTCTGCGTTATTGCCACCAAACTGAGTGATGGTTCTTACGATTTCTCTCTGGAATCGGGTGACAATTTGAAATATATTCCCAGTTACGATTTCCTGATTCCAGCCGCTGCTTGGTTTAACAATTCTCTAGATGATTTAGGAATGAGTTTTCAGACGATCAAATCTTCGGGTGAATTCGATGACACCATACAGGCCTATTGGGCAGGATTTCTTGAACTCTATACCTCGAGAGAAATGACTCAAGCTCATTTAGAGAATACATTTGGTGGTAAGTTGATAGTTATTCGCCGTGTATTTGTTGACATCATTTTTTATTGATTTTTAAGACAGTTTTAATGAAATTACAGTGCTAAATTCTTCATTTTCATTATGGGTAAATGCTTTCACAAGTTCTTGATAATATTCTTGAGCCACTTCAACGAAACATTTGCATCCTTCACCTGTATTGTTAATCTGAATTTATCGCTATGGTTTATTATTCCCAACACTCGACCATATTCATCGATTTTATGGTTACCGATTTGACAGACATCCACTCTTGAAGTGAGTAGACATTTATTGCAGCTAATTTCCATATTCGTTCTCAATCAGCTTATCCTCAGATCACAGTATATAATCGTGAAAATGGCTAGTGATTTGTACCCAACAAGTTAGACTTGGTGGTATGCCTCACAAATCTGAACATCTTCCAAAAGGATGCAAGACTTCAACAGCATTTCCATGAGTTGAGGGTAGAGAAGACTCATATTGGAGAACCGTAATTGGGAAGAGCAACATTTGGGTTCAAAACTAAGAAGATTAGATGATCAGTTAAAAGACGGCGCGTGATTGGAAACTGGACGGTTTTGCGTTCTTCGATCTTCTGATAACCAAGTACTGAAATATATCATCTGATACTTAAGGCAGTGCGGACATATGAGTCAACATAGAACATAAAGAGAATGAAGCCATTTCCTGGAGTTAATACTTGAGGCATTGCTTAGTATTTCTTTTAATTTTCTTATTCATGGTTGAATGATGTGAATGGTTGGATGGTAATGCAGATTTGTCATTAAATCACTTTCATAAATTAAGCCTTTTCGCTAACTCCTTTCTTTCAAAAGTTGAACTGATTTCGTCTATCCACCCAGTCATATGTGTCTTAGAGTCTGGTGAGTTGAGTCTGCCATTAATCATTACCCTCACAACTTCCTGTAATTTAAAACCCACCTTCAAAGTGGGGAGAAGGCAAGTTGGTATGGAGTAGAGTTAATTGGAAAGTGCTTGACACAATAGGAGAAATCAGGAGGTTGAGGTAAGTAAATGTTTTACAGTTCATTATTTAAATAAATAAATCATTTGGGAAAAGGCACAAGTATAAGATCTGCTAACAGTACCAGCACTACAACTGAATGTCCGCGCAGTGCGAGGAATAGCTAATCCTGCTGGTTAAGCCTCGGTTGTAAGGATTGGGGGGGGGGGGGCATTGGAATTCGAGTTTCTTGTCTGGGCAGTTCCATTATACTACCCCTCTGAAGAAAAGGAGTTTTATTTTGAAAAAATTTTACTAAACGGTCTTTGAAAGTGGAATTGGGCGCATAGCTTTATAAATTGATCCTTCTCGTCAACGGAGATCTCGATAAGTCTTTTATAAGCCATCTTTTTGTACTTGAAGGATTCTGCGAGGACAATTCAACCTCATGTCAAACTCTCAGACGGCAAATAGAACGCAACTTGGAAATGACAATCAAACGCAGTCTCGAATCCGGAGATATCGATCCGTTCTGGCATCAGGTATGGTGATTTATAAACATATCATTTTAATCTATGCTCTCTTAACATTCCATCCATGCCTAGATGGAATTGATGCTATGGCAAATGCGTGGAATTCAAGATGCGTGGAACAATATCACTCTAAAAAACTCCAAATCACTTACACAAGACTACCTTCTTGGACTACTGGACAATGTCTTTGATATTTAGTAAGCTCAGCCAAGGTGGCCGAATCACCTGTGTGTGTGTGTGTGCGCGCTAGGACGCGAAGAGTTTGTTTATATTCTGGTCACCGCTACGCCAGCCCAGATATAATTGCAAGTGCTTTTGGGTTGTGAGGCTGGTACAAATCTAACCACGGTTTAAATTAGGTTTAAATATTTATCTAGTGAAAGAATGCTCACGTTAAACTGCGAAATCACGCAGCCAAGTGCCACTTAAAGGGATTTTGTCTCCGGCTTGCTATGATCTGTCTCCCCCCCCCCTCCCCCTCCCCCACTTTTCTAATCCCAACGCTCCTTTTAAGCCGTCGAATTCCGAGGAGAGCATCCAAAGTAGCCGTCGCAAATTGATAAGGTGTCCGGAATAGTTTGGGTTTTTCATTTTTATATGCCAAATATCATATTGATGTTTGTGTTTTAATATCACTACACTACCTAACTTTTAACAGTCCGACTGCCAGGAGTGATATGCATCCGCATACTAATATGGCCGATTTCTAGAAAAAAATATGATGCATCAGTGTGAAAATGGTGGAGAGGGGGGGGGGGAAGGTGAGGGAAAAGGTGATGGATACTCATGATTGTAGCAGCTAGCGAAAATGGCGATGAAACGGGAGACCTGTGTTCTTTGCAAGTCAATTTGTGGGTAATTAAAATTATGTGCGCACTACATTTAATATTAATACTTAATGGACCGCGCAATGTAAAACCCCCTGTGTGTTTTGCGTTTCCTAGCCTCCTTCAATTGAATGCAGATATTGGGGAGATCACGGAAGCTCTCGGTGTCTATGACGACCTTAAAGAGGGTCCAAATGGAAAGTCCTACTTCTTGTCTCGAGCTAGCTGCTCAGCTCTCGTCAAAATTTTCCCAGAGCAAAAGGATATTTTTATCTCACACAACACTTGGCAGGGATATGAGAGTATGCTGAAAGTTATGAAGTACTACGAATTCGACTGGCATCTCACTCGTAGTCCTTGTGAGTCGAAACCTCAAATACCTTTTTAAACCTTGGGAGATGCCATTTGCACCAAGGGTGGATTTCAAAATTTGAAATTTTACTCGCCAACAATATTACGCGTAGGGAATGTAATGGAGAATAGGGTGAATTTATATCTAAATAAACATTTGAGGTTAACTACCTACATAATTGGATAATTGCACAATGAAGGTCATTGAAGTAAAATGGGTTCTTGTATTGACACAGAGTAGAATTGGAGTAGTTACTGTATTGTATGAATGTGATTACTCAAGTCAAATTAGCCAGGAGTTTAGTGGAGAAACTGAGAAGTAGGCAAATTTGGAAGAGTGAGAAATAGGTGTCTTCTCAATTAGAGTGAAGGTAGGATTATGATAATGAGATTAAATTGAAGTATCTAAAGTCGAGTTAAATGAAGAGCAACCAACAAATTCACCCACTGCCAATAAAGACGGTACACGAATTGGAGTCAGCAATTCACTTAGTTGAAGTATTCAAATTGTCCCTAGAGATCGATGGTAATGAGAAAGGTTAGGTCCTATCGATTGTAGAGGGTTGAAGGAACTTTAGTTGAGGTGCACATCCCTTGTTTTCCAGATTCGCCAAAAATACCTGGGGATAGGATGCTGTTCTCATCATATCCTTCCACAATCTGCTCGTTGGATGACTTCAATGTTTTAAACACTGGGCTGGTATGTAAATTTGAGTTTTCTTTTGACTTACTAATAATGTTTCCACAAATTTTGCTAAAGGGACATTTATTTGCTTCCAATTGAGTGTGAGAAGGCGGGGGGGGGGGGGGGGGACGGGTGTACAGATAGCAACTTACCTAAGAGGTCACAGAGTCTAGTTGAGCTGTCACTCGGTCCACATCACATAACAAAATGAAGGTATGAAAGGGATTGTTTGTTGAAGAGCTCTGTGGAATACAATGGAAAATCTTAGGGATTTATTCCAGGAGTCCACAGAGGGTCTATTTTTGCTTGTGAATTTCATATGAACGATCGATAGGCCTTGATACATTGTCTCAGCGAGTTAACTGGGCCAATTTTCTTTATTATCTGAAAGGTCGGGTTGCTTAATAACATTTCATGTGTGTTACTATGTCTCAGATGACGAACTAAATAGTAATATGGGAAAGTTTTAGTAATTTTGCAACTATTCATTTATACCAAATTGCAGACTTTATGATAGTTATCATTTGACATTTTGTTCACTGTGGGCTTCGTAGAGGGGCGGAACATCAATGTTACAAAAAGTCGAGAGGGGGTAGTGAACAGAATAGTGATTCACAGGTGTAAAAGAGGTAGAGAAAAAGGTAATGTGAAGTGAGCACTGTGGAAGTGGTGGAATATGACACACAGTCTGGTCATTAGTAGTTTGAAGTGAGAAGTCAACTGCCGGTTTAGAGACTTTTGCCGAATGGTTATGCGTTGCCTGAGGAGCACCATGTGGAGGTAAGTCAATAATAAGAGGGAAAGTGCCCATAAAAAAGTGTTCTCCTTTGCACTTTACTCATTGTACTGGATTTAATTATGCGTTTGCTTCAAAACAATTCATCACCAGAAAGCATCTAGGCAAAGGAAGCATCACAAGAGTCAAAAATGTAGATTGTAGTTCTGACGCTACAAAGATGGACTTTCGGGGTTGTTTCTCTGGATTTTCGAGTGACTTAATGCTCGAAAATGATGAAACCTGACAAGATTATAAGAGCTTCTTGTACCCATTTTGTCTCAATTTTCAGGTCACACAAGAGACTACGAACACAATTAAAAATCCCAATCTGTGGCCATTTGTTCGACACGGATTAAATAGTTCTTTGCTTGAAGTTTACCGCATTATGATCGCCAATCGACTAGCACGAACTCCCAGTGAATGGATCTCATTCTTTTCACGAGCAAACGGTGGAACGTATGTGCCTATTTTCCTTTCCATGAGGCTAAATTATCCCATTTGATACCAATTCCTTCGTTTGCTGTGGGTATCAATAGTTATTTATATCAAATGGCAGGCGTCTTGATGGTCATCATTAGCCCTTTAGTTGACTTCAGGCTTCACAGAGGGGAAGGAACATCAAAGTGAAATAAGTCGAGGGGTGGGGAACAGAAGAGTGTTTCAAAGATGTAAGAGACAAACACAAAGGTAGAAAAAAGGTGAGGTGAGTACTGTGAAAATAGTCGAAAATGGCATAGAGTGAGGTGATGGTAGTTTGAAGTGAGAAGTCAACTGCCAGTTAATAGACTTTTTTGCCGTATGAGTATACGTTGCCCAGATGCACCACGTGGAGGTAAGTCTATCGCACACC